TCCTACAAAGCCTTAGCACATGAACAAAATGTAGACAAATATTCTGCTAGAGCATAGCACATACTGTTTTGAGGCCAATTACCAATGGAAATCTTTGTTCCCCGTTGAAACTTCTCGATCCTGCTCTTACTGTGACTTTTTAATCAACATTATTATCTTCTAAACTCTGACCAGAATCTCCTATCAAGCTCAGTGTACAGCATTCTAGGTCTTCTCTGGTCAGTATCTCCAAACCTTTCAAAACTCTGCAAACCAGTCCCCAAAGGTTTCTAGGCTTCTGAACCACACAGTCAAGCATCACAGCAACAGGTACACTTCCAGTAACCAAACCTGTCAGTCATTTTGCTCATTGCTGGGACCCAATAACTGACACCAACAACTTAAAAAAGGAGTTTTATTTCAGCTCACGTTTCAGTCCTTGCATAGTCTGCAGCAGGGTGGAAGGCTGAGGGTGGAGGAAAACTGTTCAAGTTGTGGAATTCAGGAAGCAGAGCACAGAAGGAAGCATCAGGGAATGAGATATACCCTCCTAGTCACACCTCCAGTGATCCCACTCTCCACACAGGTTCTATCTCCTGATGTCATATTTACCTATGGCATTCCTATGACTCAATCACCTTTCAAAAGCCCCAACTATTAGTACTTGAGGCTCTGGGGGAACATCTAGATTTAAACCATAACACCTTCAAAGGGACTTCACAGCGAATTCTACCACACTGATCACATTGTTCATGCTTTGATAGATGGGGAGAACCTGAGCATAAAAGTTTGGGACAAGTATTAGACTGTGACATGACTAAAACTCTCAGCTGGGGTCCCACCATGCTGTGCTGGCACATGTCTGCCACCAGTCTCCTTCACCAGTGCCCCTCACAGGCAGAATGGAAGATCAAACTGTGACAGTAATACAGTGAAATGAAAAGGAACAGACTGTCCTTACATGCAACACCATGGATGAACCTCGGAAACAGTATGCTGACATGTCACAGAACCAGCAAAGCTAACCAAGTCAAAACCAAAACCACGGTCAGAGGGGAGAGGAAGCAGTGAGGACAGACTGAAAAGGGATCTGAGGACCCTTCCCAGTATGATGGAGATATTCCACATTGACAGGGTCACGGCAACCTGATGTACCAAGGCTCAAAACTCAGTGAATAACACACTTAAGATTCATGCAACTTGCTACATGTCAATTTTACCTCTAAAAAACCTAAACACTAAATTCTATTTAGCCAAACACATCAAGGTACAGCATTTATAAGAAACTTATTTTGAAAGGTAATAAACAATAAGGTGAACTAGAGCACGATGGTGCACAACTGTAATCCCATCATCCTGGGATGCCAAAGCAGGAGGATTGCCAAGTTTGAGCCTGCTTTGGGCAATTTAGTGTAACCTCGTCTCAAAATGAAAAAGGGCTGGGGTATAGCTCAGTGTTAAGCCTTGGGCTCAAACTTAATATCATGAGAGAGAGAGAAAAAAAAAGGTGGAGTGGTAGATATGATAAAGCAAGTTCAATACAATGTTAAAAACTAAAATCTGCCTGTGAAAATGTAAATGCTATGGTCTAATCCTTTCAACTTTCCTTTTGAAATTTTTCATAATAAAATGCTAGGGGACAAAAAAGAAAGAAAACATATCTATTGGAGAGTGAATCCAGATTAATCAGTATTTTTATAGCACTAAATTTTATTAAACTCCTATGAAAAACATGATTAAAATAATGTACTTAAACCTCAGACAAATTAGTCTGACTGTTTCTTGGCAAATTGTCTTTTATTTTTATTTCCTCACCTCTAAAATAGAGACATGGTATGATCCAACAATACAGTGAATGTGTAAATTACAAACTGTTACAGTAAGACATATTACCATTAACCCCTTTACAATACTCCCTCTCCCTTCAGACATGCTTATCCTACTGTCCTTGCACTTTGTTTTTTTGTCTTTTTTCCTTTTTATCTGTACCAGGGATCGAACTCATGACTGCCTGCTTGCAAGGCAGGCGCTTATGCCGCTGAGCTAAATCCCCAGCCCTGTCGTTGCACTTTCTAAGTAGTTCTGGAAGCCTTTCATGAATGTCTTTATGAGGTGTGATCATAAATACAGTGAAAACTGCTGCTTAGTGAATGCTGTTGCATCCAAGGAAAAGGCAGGCTTGTCGCCCACCTAAGCACCAGTGCTGGCACTGTGTCACTTTTGGTTCTCCCACAATCAAAATGATCCATGAAATATAAGCATTTGGAATCAACTCAGGACATCAGGACATCACAACAAAAGACACTCATGAAAGAGGACTTTCAGAACTGCTTCATGAAACGGCAAGAACGGTAAGTGTGCTGTAAGAGGGGGAGAATATTTTAGAGGGGATTAATGGCACTCTATCTTTTACATTCTATCTTCACAGTAAATTTTATATCACACCTCACTCAGTACTACCCACTCAAAATGCTGTTGTAGAATGAACTGAGTAATTCATGTAGGGAATGAGAATTGTGTCTGGCACAAGGCAAACATTCATTAAGAGGCAGTTGATTTAACAATTTTTGGGTCAGCTCTGTGAATACAAGTATACAAGTAGAAATTATAAGCCTACTGACTAACACTTCATACTCTAATATATATATAAAAGTTAACTGTAACTCAAATTATGGCCTTTGCCCAAACTGATTCCTTTTCCATACAGATCTGAGGATCTGTTCAGTTTTTTTTCTCGCTGATGAAAATCAACTCCTTTGATAGCTGTCAGCACTTGAAAAGCATATCCACTGGTGGGTGCAGGGCCCTGAGGCAGAGGCTCATTGTCCTCTGTCCCTGCTGGCCAGAGATGCTCTTTGTCAAAGCCATGTGTCTACCTGTCCAGGTCACAGCACACACATTGCCAAAGATCACCAGATCTGCAGGTGCAACAAAAAGCAATGGAATGCACATGGTCAGATGATCTGACAGCAGAAATTATGAGTGGGAATCCACCGATGAATACTAAACCTGTATTTGACCCATCTTAGAGCGGCTGCTGCTTTGAAAATTCCCACTGCTCAGCGCCCATTTGAGTGTCCAGCTGGTGGTCACCAGCCACACCTGGCAGGGAGGGTCACAGCACTTGCTACATAAATGCAGACCACAGAATGCTTAGAAACCCCTAATAGATGCAGACATTAGCTGTGTTTTAACATTAAAATCTCTGACGCTTGAAATGGAAAAAAATATTAAGTATACTGCTCCACTGGCCTGATCTATGCCCAATTCATAAAAATGCTATCATGATCCATAAAAATAAGTATAGATTCAGGTCAAAACTTTCCATTTCAATAAATGCTCACAATGTGCAGTACAAGACCATTTTCCATCTACCATAAATGCTTCATTCCTCTTCCTAGCAGTTACAAATTATTTCAAAATTACAAATTTCCTGACATCACATGTCAGACTAACTCAGAAAAGTCAGAACAAGGAAAACGTGTATGGGGGTGGTGGCAAACAATCCCAGAAAACTTAAGACTGAATGGGCCTATCACATGTGCCTGGAGGGTACAGAATCCAAAAACTGGTTCACAGGGCAAGGGAGGGAAACTAGCACACCAAGGCTAAAAGCCAGATATAAGTGACACAGTGGTGTCACTGCTTGTAGGGCCCTGGGTTGGCAGATGAGTGGTGCACGTCTATAATCCCAGCACTTTCTGAAGCTGAAGCAGGAAGATCATAAGACTAAGCCCTGCCGGGCATGATGGCTCACGCCTGTAATCCCAGCACTCGAAAGGCTGAGGCAGGAGGATCGTTGCGAGTTCGAGACCAGCCTGGGATAGAAAGTGAGCTCAAGGCCAGCCTGAACTGCATAGTGAGACTCTGTCTCAAAAAGACAAAAAAAAAAAAAAAAAAAAAAAAACACAAACCACTGAGCCCTGCAAAGGCAATTTGATGAGATCCTATCTCAAAATAAAAAGGGGCTGGGAATGTGGATCAGTACAAAGATCCTGCATTCAATTACCAGGGGAACCTTCCACACACCCACAACGTCGCACATGAGCTCTTGACAGTTCAGGGAAGATGCAGGATTGCCAAAGCCGACCAGGAAGGCAGAGTTTACAGGTGCGCATCCAATTAAAACTCCTGAGTGCTGGCAGTGAGGCCATTTATGGGGAAAGGCACTGGGTACTAACATATCCTTCCCTTTGGAATAAGCATTCTGAACAGCTTTACGGGAAAAAGAGCAGGCCAATTTTGGAGAACAAAGGAACCTAAACACCCTTCACTGAGTTTCTGAAGTTAACTTCAGCATACATGTGCTCATCAATGAAGAAGCCACAGGGAGTCAAGAGAAAATGGTTTGTGTGTACCAGGTCTGCTAAACAAATTCAAGTATTACAGGCAGATACCTGCCGGCAGCCCCAGCTTCTGATGCATCGCCTCACAAATAGCAACTCAAATTCTGGACAGAGGACAGGAGGGAAACAATGATAACCCATAAGCTGAGCTTCTGAACACTGTATCTAACTGTCTGTAACAGTTAGATACAGGACCCTATACTAATGTAACATTTATATTTCAAAGAATTTTCAGGTATTTTCACATAATTTCAAAAAACCACATAATGCCACTCCCAGTTTTCCAGGGAGAAAGGTGAGGTGACAGAGGCTGGTTCTCTGCAACTGCCCCACCCATCTATGATGCAGACCGACACTTCTCATCTTCTTCAACCATAATTCAACACTACCAAACCATTCTTATAGGAAAATAAAACATGAAGCCAGGTGTGGTGCCACATGCCTGTAATTCCAGCAGCTCAGGAGGCTGAGGCAGGAGGATCACCACGAGTTCGAGACCAGCCTGGGCTACACAGTGAGTTCAAGGTCAGCCTGAACTACATAGCAAGACCTTGTCTCAAATAAGTAAATAGCAAAATTTACTTTGAAAAAGCGATTTCAGTGTTTCAGAAAACCCTCAAGACTGAAGACAGTGAGTGTCCTAATCAAAAGTTTCAAGAGACAAAAGCGCCATACCTGTTTCATCTCTCCAATATGGATGTGTTCTTTTTGCTTCTCTTCATATAAACATCTCAGAAAAGAAATAATCAATTCATTCTCTCGCTGCTCATTTCGTGGTCTCAATTTCTTTAAAAAAATTAAAAACAAGAAATATTACAAACCTTTAACCTGTTAACAAAACTGCTAAACCACTTTGGAGGTGCTGTGAGGCTCCATTCACTTAATCACGGTAGTGCCTCTTACGTTCTCCTCTCACTAGGGGGCACCAACGATCCTTAAAGCTGATTTTTTACACAGGAAAGTGGGACCAGTGGGCTAGACTGGTCTTTCATGTCCTTTCGCCTAAAATAAATTTTTGACATTAGATGAAGACAGTCACAACATTTCATAAACAGTTGTTTAAAACAGAGGAATAGAAATCTATGTAAACACCCAGAGGTCAGGTGCCATAATGAGCACACGTCTACCTTATCAGCGCTCGCGGTTAGCAACTGGACAGGGAGAGAGTGGGCACAGGGCTGTGGTTTCACATGTCCCATGCGTTCATCAGGAAGGACTTTGTGGAATGCCAGAGGCATGCACTTCGACACAAAATTTTTCAGATCTTTTTTTTTTTTTTTTTTTTTTTTGGTACCAGGGGATCGAACTCATGGCCTCATGCTTGCCAGGCAGGTGCTTATGCCGCTGAGCTAAATCCCTGGCCAGACACAAAATTTTTCAACTGGGTCCTCCTCTTTCTCTCTCTATCCTTCTCCTCCCCTGCTTCTTCTCTTCTTTAAAGCCTCTCTATGCCCTTTAATTTTTCAACAGAGCACTGGCACTGGACTAGAAATCAAGACTAGTAAGTTCTGTCTGCTGACCAAAACCCAGTCATTTATCTCAGGCTCCCTACCCTGTTAAGATTAGAATGTATACAAATAAAAACTCCACGGTATCCTCCGACTTTCAAATTTGCTGGATTTCAAATATCAAAGTCTATGCATGTAAGATCATCTGACTTAGCACAGTATTTTGTTGGAATGTGAAGGAGACAGGACAAACTGCTCTGGAGAGGCACAAGGCAGCTAGTCTATAAACTTCTGAAGTAACTGACGGCCCCACTGCCCAGGTCCTCCTCTCTCCTTCACTCTACACTGCTAGGCTTCCCTTTTACACAGGGTCAGCCGCAGCAGGCAGGTCAACCGTTCAAGGTGGCAACCATCCTGCCCAGCCAGGTGAGGAACAGTGCTGTCACCCTTCATGGCACAAGCAGTAAGAGCACAGGCGACTCTACAGACCCTCTAACCAGTCCTTCTCTTAAAGAAAAGGATCATTTAAAAGGCACATTGTTCTTCTTAAGAAAAAAACAATTTTATGGTTAGGAAGCTTTGTTTTCACTAAGGACTTCCTGCTCTTTCAAACGTTTTACAGGTCAAGTAAACATTCTCAACCTAAACTCCAGGCCATGGATCCTGAGGTCACAAAATCTGACATCACAGGAATCATTTAAATTTTATTTTCCATTAGATCACATTTCAACTTAAGAGCTAGCTCTCAAGGTTAGGGGTATTCTGAATCTGTACATCCACAAAAATAGCAGGAACTCTCCTTCATTCACAGCTAGTGGGAATGGAAAATAGTGTGGCCACTGTGGCAAAGAGTTCAGCAGCTTTTCTTACCACACAACCCAGCAGTCCCTGGCAGTTATCCACATGATCTGAAAACATATGTGCAAACATAAACCTGCACAAGGATGTTTACAACAGCTTTATTCATAACTGTCAAAACCGAGAAGCAATCAAGGTGCCCTTCAACAGGTGAATGGATAAACAAACTGGTACATCTACAGAACGGGATATTACTCAGCACTAAAAGGAAACATGAGCTACCACATCAAGCCATGAAAGACATGCGGGAAATTTAAGTACTAATTACTAAGTGAAAGAAGCCAACCTCTAAAAGCTACATACAGTGTTTTCAAGCAGACTGACTTTCTGAAAATGACACAACTATGGAAATTGTAAAAGGATGTGTCTTAGTTACCTTTCTCTCATGGCTGAGACAAAATACCTGACACCCAAAATTTAAGATGGAAAGGTTTATTTAGCTTACAAATTTGCGATGTTTCAGTCCATAATCAGCTGTCTCCAAGGAAGGGGGGCATGGGAGAGGGGCAATCACTCATGGCAGTGGAAGACAGCAAAAGCAACGACAGTTAAAAGGGAAGGAGCACAGAGGGAAGACTTTCTGCCAAGGGGCAGAAAGTGTCTGAAGACAGTGTATGAAGGCCATAGCAACTCTAGGATGGGTGTAGCACTCACACCCTTAACCCCAGCATTGGACCATGAATCAATCACAAACTTTAGAAGCCTACCCCCATGACAGCATGAGGCCTTATAGGTACATCCAGACACAAACCGTAACATTCCACCCCTGGTCCCCCAAAGACTCATACACATCCTTTATGCAAAGGCATTTAGTCCATTTCTGAGAGTTGCCAAAACCCTAACAGTTTCAGCACTCTGAAAAGTACAAGTTCCAAGTCTCCTCCGAGATATAAGGCAAACTCTTAGCTTCCAGCCCCTGTACACAATAAAACAAAGTTAAACACTTCCAATATACAATGGCACCAAGACAAATGTTACCATTCCAAAAGGCACAAAGAGGGGAATACAAAGCATTGGAACAAAAGCAAGTACAAAATCCAGCAGGGCAAACATTAATTCCTGCAGTTCCATGTGATACATGAGAAGCAATCTGTGGTAAATTGTAAGCTCCAAAAAGGCTTGTGTAACTCTGCCCCTACAGCACTTTTGGTGCTGCAGCTCCCTTGGTTTCTCTCTTGGGCCTGCTTTGCTCTCTTCCTTGTAAGTTTCCTCAGATAATTCATGTTTCCTGGCTTCTTCAAACTTCTGGGGTCTTCACTGAATCTCTGGCTTCACTCTCAGAGCTCAAATACTGTCCTCGGCACACAGCCTTCTGAAATCATGGTGGAAGCCTTTTTAACCTCCAAATTCTTGCATTATGCGTGCACCTAAAACCAGCACCACATGGATGATGGTCAAGGCCTGCCGCTAGTTAGATCACTAGCCAGGCTTTCTTCTCTCTTGGCTGTAGGGGTTAAGTTCCTGAATCGCTGGGCACTCCAAATCCAATTACAAGGAACAAATTCTCTATGCTGCTGCCATCCTGGAACATGGTGTGACTGCTGCCATTCTTAAACATGAGCTCTGCATCTTTCTCCTCAAAGCAAAGCCTTTCACTTGTGCAGTTTTGAGGTTGCAAAGGGTGGAGACTTGCTGCTTCTTGTGATGCCTTCAGGCTACCTTTAAGTTTTCTTGTTCCTTCTCAGCAATCAAGATCTTCTCAGCTCTATCTTTGCAATACATAGCTTTATTGGATCTTCTTTTCTGGTCAAACTCACATTTTATATCATCCTGCTGGGCTCTTTGCCTTTGATTTGCAGCACAAATCTGACTAAAAGCCTTCAACAATAGCCATGCCACTGCCTCAACATCAGACTGCCTTAAAATTTCTTCTGCCAGATTAATTAGTCCATTGCCTTTAATCTTGGTCTCGGGCAAAGTCTCTGGACACGAGCAAAGCAGACAAACTGTCCTCTAAGCCATAGCATACATCATCTGGACTCCAACAACCAATGCAGTCCTTCTTCCCAGCAGAAACCCCTCAAGCCTAATTTTCACTGACAGAACTTCTACCAGCCTTCTGCTCTTCTAAACTCTGACCAGAATCTCTCATACAGAAGGCTAAGGCATTCCAGTGCTTTCAGGCAACATCTCTGAACTTTTCCAAACCCTTCCCACAAGTATTTCCAAAGGCTCTTAAACCACACGGTCAGGTACAGTCACAGCAATGACCCTGCTTCTCTGGTACAAAATTTTTGTGTTGGTTACTTCTCTCTAGTTGCTGAAACAAAATATCTGACACCCAAAATTAAGGATGGAAAGGTTTACTTAGCTCACAGTTCATGGACATCTCAGTCCACAAGCTTCTGGGTCCAAAGCAGAGTGGTATGGCAGAGGGCAACAATTCATGGCAGAGGGCAACAATTCATGGCAGAGGGCAACAATTCATGGCAGTGGAAGGGAGCAAAAGCAATAAGAGCAAAAGGAGAGGAGCACAGAGAAAAGACTCTTTCTGTCTATTATACTGTATATAGAGTCCAGATGGGTGTACCAACAGTGGCATATCTTTATTTTCCAAAACTGACTTAGTTAATTGCTTTCAAAAACAAATTACCCTCCAAAATGCCTGCAAGGAAAATAATGGTAAATTAAATTGTGTAACATTACTTTGTAAGCAAAAATGAATTGGTCTGTTCAAAATTATGTCAGAAGTCAGGATGGTGTTCGCAGAGGCAGGGATGAGGTTGGCGGAGGTTGGCTTCCTCACAACAGAAAGGCCCTATTTCTTAACGTTGGTGCTTGTAACAGATTCCCTCGAAGTAAGAATTTATTGAACTAGGCTCAACATGGTATTATATGACAGTAATTCTAGAACTCTGAGAGGTTGAGGCAAAAAAATAAAAAAATTCAAGTCCAACCTGAGTAATGGGCAGTTAATGACAACCACACTATCACACAGTGTGCACACTCACATATACACACACACACACAAACTAAAAATAAAATTTTAATCTCCAGTAATGAAAAATCACTGAACTTGATTTGTGTGCTTTTCTGTAGGTATAATCTGATTTTTAAGAATCCCAAAACAACTAATTGCTTCTCAAAGGGAATGAAACCAGTTCTGTTCTGTTTCTTAATCTCATTTGTATAAGGAGTTCATCAGTTAGTGTAAAGGCAACTGAAAAATAAATTTGCAGCACTGACAATGAAGGTTAAAAGTATATGGCATTCCCAGGAAACTAATTAAAAAGAGAGTGCTCACTTGCATATTGCATTCTCATATCTTTTTTAAAAAATTCTAACCACATCTTATTTAAGAATAACTTTTAGGGGCTGAGAATATATAGCTCAGGGGCACAGGTACCTGCCTGGCAAGTGTAAGGTCCTAAGTTCAATAACCGGCACCAAAAAAACCCCCCAAAAAACAACTTCTAAACCATGGAACAAAGTTAATACACTTCCTTTAGGAAGTGAAAAAAAAAAAGGAGGATCGTCTGAGCATTAATCTGTATCTTGTGAAACGTCATGCTATTTAATGAATTACTAATGCCTACTGAGTGCAAATCTCCTTGATTTATCTGCTCAGGATTTCATTAAACAATTCCCTGAAACACACTCTTTCTGACGAGGAGAGTCAAATTTTAAAACTGTTTTTAAACTGGCCTTTGGCTTGAAAGTGGTTCTCTGGGCCAAGGATGACAGACAGCGTGGATTTGGCACACTGGGCCAGCAGGGAGCAGCCTGAGAAGTGAGCAAGACCTTACCGTGATGTCACCTTCATATGCGATGCCCAGCAGGGCATGTGTGGCAACTGTGCATTCCCAGTAACGCACAAATGCAAAGGTGATTCTGCAGTGCAGAGTCCTCTTATGAAGAGAGGGCTGAACAGGGCCACATGCCCACCTGGTACCATGTCTTTAAGGTGCTCAGGTTATCTTCTCCTGTATCGCTCACAGTTTAGTGATTTCTTTCTCCCTATGGCTATAGGTGAGTATTATGTATTTTTTTTTTTTAGCATTAACATTCATTTACAAAAACACTGACTAACCTGTTTTTTTTTTAGCATTAACATTCATTTACAAAAACACTATGTTGTTTTCATAACTTTTTAAGTAATCACATACCATTAATTTCAACAACAATTATATTCGCCTTACAAGAATTTGCCTTAGGGGAGGTTTTCAAAAACAAATAACCCTTCAAAAAAGACTGCAAAGAAAAATATTTACCATTCTATTATAAGAGGACTCATAAAACAGCAAGCCATGTTTTTCTTTATAGCCTCTTTAAAATGTGTGGTTTTCAAACATATTAGCAGGCAGAGCTACTTGAAAAGAACTGGATGACTTGACTCCAGAAAGTATCTTAGAAAACCCAAGTTTGGTCACTGAGGAAATAATTCAAGAAGCCTATCAATGAGTCATTAAAAGATGGATGTCCAATGAGAATCATCCAATAAAGAGGTAACTTATGATGCAGGACAAAGTATACACTGGGTTTTCAAAGCCAGTGAACAAGACTACTTTTTTGCTTCAGAAAAAAAGACAGGAAGAAACAGAGATATCTAGAATACACTGAGTCCTAGGATACTAACTGTCTTTTTATTTGAAAGCAAATTTTTGTCAACAGCTTTTTTTTTTGAAGTTTCTTTGCCATGTGTGTAAGTGTCTAAAGAACCTCCATGGAAGAGAGAGACTTTCAGAATCCTATCTATTAGGAACTATTCCTCGCACCAAACTGGGGTAAGCCCATCCTGGGCCACCACGCTGCTTGAGAAACATTACATGGCACTGACAGTACAGATCCACAGCAGGGAAGGGAGTGCATCTCTACGCCTGCCAGGAAGATGCTCTCCTTAGTGAGTCAATAGCTCCACTCTAGAAGGGATCAGCACCGGCATCTTGGCTTTGACTGTAAATTCGTTAACAATCAGAGGCACCTTGTCCACTCCTGACCCCAAATACAAATCACATTACAGTTGTCTAAGAGAATCACTTTTATGAAAAAACAAAAGCACTGAGTGTAGAGTTGGTTCAGAAAATAGAAGAACATAAAATCAATTGAAAATTGTAAAAATACCCTCTAGTCCAGTAATAGAACCTCCTAGAGCATTCAACAACACACAGCCCACTGCACTACACGTTAGAGGTCTGCTCCAATCCATTTGTGAAATCTGTAAAGATCTTATGCTTTCTTTCTACAGTTCAACTGCACAAGAACAAAGGAATGAGGAAAGTACTCTAACGTGAGACTAAAGACAAAAGGATAATCCTTCCATTTTTTCACACAAACAGAAAACAGATCATTGGGCTATTGGCCTTCCCCAGTGAGGTGGCACAGGGAACCCGATCCACACGGCCACCAGTCTTATTGTGACTAACATTCTTTTATTACATGCAGAACCTACTGGTCACCAGCACCCCACCTCACAAAAAAAGACAGATATATTCTTTATTCTGATATAAGCTCTTTCCTAGAAAAGTGCCAGAAAACCACAAAAACATGCCCCTTCACTAAAGCAGACGTGGAATTTGTGATGAGCTCATTTCAGACTCATGGTGCATAGACTCCAAGCATGCCAGTTACCCACAATGTGGTTTCCCTGAGACACACAGGGCCTCAGCACAAGCACCAGGGCTGGTTCTGAAGCCTAATGTAGAAAGATAATAAACCTGTCCTTGGTGGTGGCCGCTAATTTTTTCTTTTTCAATTTTAGTATGTAACATGACACTCAGTATGTAACGTGACCTAAACTTATTTTCCAAACTGAAAATTTTAAAAAAATAAAGAAGGAAGGTGGAAGAACTGAGTTCACATGCATGCCCTAGTGGATGCATGCCCTGGTGTCTCATGTGATTCCCACACTGCACACTGAAATCCCCAGCACGAAGGAGCCGCTTCCTGGGGGCAGAAGCTCCCGGGGGACCAAACAGTGTGTGCGGGTCACAGTCTAGCTCTGTCTCCCAGTTAAGGTTGTTTTCCCCTTCATGGTTCCCTTGCTCTGAGTCTGACATATTTCCAAGACACCTGTCAGGTGGGAACCCTCAGTTCTGAGCTGGCCCCTCTGGGGCAGTTAACCATTCCACCACGAGGGCCCCTGTGCGCTGTGACATCGCTCCTGTGTACTCTGTGCACACAACACTGCACGGGGTGGCTGCTGCTTTATTTTCCCGCTCAAAACCACAGGCTGAGCATTGTACCTGCACCTCTTCAAAAATAGTTGCCTGCTCCTGATTAGTCAACGTTGTCAAGTGCTTCTGGAGTTCTAATTTGGTTTTGGAAGAATTCATTCCTGTAAGAGGAGAGAGAGAGAGGTGATTAAACTCGTTCCGAGTCCAGAGGCACAGTCAGCCTCTTCCACCCTCACTGCCTTCACCCTCTCGCCCCAGCCAGTGCAGGCTGTCGAGCCCTTACAGAGCCTCTAGTCAATGACGGTGTCTTCATGTCTATCTGAGCTCTGATGTGCGAGGCACTGGATACTTAGCACTGAAACTCATCAGTTCATTTGCTCCCTAATACAACCTGACAAGTTAGGAGTGTGCTGTTGTCCCTCTGCCACAGTGAGGGAACTGAGGCCCAGCGATTCTGCAGAATTTTCAAAGCCGACCCACCTGGACTCTGTCTCAGGTTTGCATGATTCCAAATTATTTCCTCCCATTAAGACACTTGATACAATCAGAATATTCTCAGAGAATGATAAATTCCCATGAATATTTATATGTGAACATTAACCTTTTTTTAAAGCAAAATAATTAGCATTCATGTGGTTTAAAAATTGACCCACATTATTCCCTTGTATGTTAGGGTCCTTTCACATAAAAATAATACATGTGGGGCTGGGGATTTAGTTCAGTGGCATAAGCACCTGCCTTGCAAGTGCGTGGTCATGAGTTCGATCCCTGGTACCAATAAAAAAGAAAAAGACAAAAAAAAAAAAAAAAAAAGAAAAAGGACTGAAAAAGAATTCATGTAGCTAACAATTCTCCTTTCACTGTCGTATGCTTATCAAGTCTTAAGACCATTTCATTAATATTACAAAGAATTTTGAGGAAAGTTACAAAAATAAAATCCCTCTGTAAAACAGCAGTGCCCACCAGAATGTGCTGTTAAGAAGTTCCATCTCCATGTGAATACAATTCAGTTCCTATTTTATCTTTTCTTGATGTCCAGAGACAAAAGTCACATAAGAGGAGAAAACTGTGAATGAAGGAATCTGTTGACTCCACTGTCTTGGGGAAAGAATCTGCTGCTGGTTCCTGCTCCTCTGAGAACCGCACGCTCCCACCACAGCCATCCTGAGGGGGGACCTCAAGCTGGGGTGGGGGCGGCCCTGAGCTCAAGAACAGAGTGAACATACTTACAGGGCTGGGGATTGCAACAGGGAGGAAGCCCTGCCATGCCAGGGCGCCTTGGGACTTGGCCATCATAACCTTTATTTTACAGCCAAATTTGCTGACGTCTAGAAGCTGGGCAACCATCAAAGAAAGGTCAGGAGGCCCAGCTGCAGCCAGCCTGCGCCACTGTTCTCCTTCCCAGAGCTGCAGGCAGAGCAGCCCACACTGCAATAGACTGCTGCTCCCACCCTGTAGCAATGTCCTCCTCCGGAAATCTTCCTTCCCTCTCATTTTTTACCAAAGATAACCCTTGAAGAGGGCACCATAAAAATAACCAGTGTACTTAAATGACTGAACATTATCTCATTTAATCCTCAGATAACTGCTGACGTAAGCCTTTCTTAGTAATCCCCAGGTAGACATGAAAATACCGAGGTTCATCAAAGGCAAACTTTTTTTGCCCACAGTCATGACAAGGTAAGACTCTGAACCACGTTAGCCTGCAGACAACAGTCTTGGACCTCACTGCCTTCCCTGACTAGCAGAATCAAGTCACCTAACACACAGACCGGTTCCGAACAAAAGTGGATTCTGAGGCAAGTTAAGATGTGGGAAGGTCAAGCGGCTTAAAGTGTTCTATGTGTACTCTCTGGCCTGCTATCAGCTCACAGACAGCCAGGGATGCAGACACTATACTTTACTGTATCAACTACTAAAATACTGGAGCAAAATAATGCCTAAATTTATGAATATAGTAAGCATTCAATAATCACTAAGAAAAATCCTCCCCAAAACAGTCTAAGCATCATATTTTAGAAATATTATACTGTTTGGTAAAACATTCACGAGGAGGAAAAAATCCTAGAGTCTACAAAGAATAAAACTAAGCATACATCTGGCCAAGCATAGCGGTGCACTAAGTAATCTTATCACTCTGTGAGGCTGTGAGACAAGAGGATCAAAAGCTTGAGCCCAGCCTGGGCAACTTAGCAGGACCCAGTTTCAAATTAAAAATTATAAAAAGGGCTAGACATGTAGCCCAGTAAGCAAGCCCTAGGTTTAATCCCAAGTCCCACCAAAATAGAAGAAAATAAAAGGTAAACATCTGACAACTTCAGGTTGTCACAAATGTAGCCTCTCTTCATTCACCAGGTATGAAGGATCAACCCACCAGACCCGGCCTGATGAAGGATGCCTCAATTCCTCAGGTCCTTCCTGCCTCATTTCAAGCCAAATGATCCCACTGGGGTCTAATCACCTTCAGTCACTGCCCCTGCTGAAGCCATCTCTTCACAGGGGCCCATGTGATGCCACAGGAGAGGGGTGGGGAGCAGGGAAGGTACCCAGAGTTGAGGAATCCTCTGAATGGAGAGGCTGCTCACACTGCAAAGATTTTACTAAACAGAGCTCTGCTGAATGACTCTGCTCCGAAAACAAAAGAAAGCCTCAGCTTAAGATTTTTTAAAGAAAGTGTAATTAATTTTATCAATTCCCCAAATGCTTCTCTAACCTTAAAAAAAAAAAAAAAAAAAAGCAAAATACAACGTAAATGGAGCCAACAGTTGTGCAGTTGTACAGTTCAAGCACAGAACTGAGCGTGCCCCCGTCTCCCCAGCTACACTTGCGTCCGGTGTCATGAACATGGATGGTGTACTTATTCTGCTGCACTGATTCTGGGGCACAGCTTGACATGCAGTGGTTGTGAAAACACAACCCTTCTTGTAGTCACACCACTGGGCCCTCTGGAGCTCTTGGTCAGACAGTAACTTCCTGGGAGAACCATCCTTACAGTGGATTTTAATAAATCACTTCACTCTACTTTTTAGGAGCAAAACAGCAGAAACTGCTCCAAAATTGCCCAAAAAGTAATTAGAGCACCTCCTTGACTGAGGATGCCCCTGAAAATACCCCACCTATACTTTCAGAAATTCTTTTATCCAGAATTCTCCTGGCTCTGTTTGATGGCTGGTTTTTAGATTAGTAGAGCTTTCTTTTACGGTTGAGTTTTGCTATGTAAAAGAAAAATTAAATGATTATCTCCAAAGCTATAGCAGCAAAATCTCTGGCCTGATTAAATTTGTAACTGTAACTTCCTGAAAGCTCAGCCAGACCAAAGAAAGACTTATCAAGTGGAACTCTGGACCAGTTCCAGCTCTGCAGATCACCATCCACTTTATCTTCAAGGCCAAACTCGTTCCTGGCTTCTTAATAAGCTCTTAAGGGACATTTCTGTCATCATTTACCTTATCTTGACAACCAATAAGGAACGGGTTAGTGATCCTCTCAACTGTGATCGCAAGTTAAAGCCCAACTTCTCTCATTCCCAGATATATTTTATATAATATCAGCAAACAGAAACAACTTGGAAAACAGTCTAAAACATTAATCATGTTCATTTTAAAGAGCAATATAATGCCACACATGTACCTTCCCAGACCTTAAAATGTCAACTATTTTATTTCAAAAGGGAAATCAGATACTACACTTCACATTCATTAGGATGGCTGCCACAAGAGAGAGAGAGAGAGAGAGAGAGAGAGAGAGAGAGAGAGAGAGAGAGAGAAACAAAGAAAGAAAAAGAAAGAAAGATTGACTGTTGGTGAGAATAAAGAAACTGGAAATGGCCTGTTGAATTAACCATGGGGCTATAAAATGGTGTAAGTGTTGTAGAATAATATGGCTGTTCCTAAAAAATTAAAACATAATTTCCATTTGATCCAACAATGTCACGTCTGTGTATATACCTAAAAGAACTAAAAGCAGAAATTTGGATATTTGTGCACCAACATTCACAACATTCATATTATTTATAATTGCCAAAAGATGGAAATAACTCAAAAGTTCAATGATGGATAAATAAATGAAATGTGGTATGTATACAGTGGAATATTATTCTGCCTTTAAAAAAAATTCCAACTTATGCCACAACATGAATGTACCTTGAAGATATTATGCTAAGTAAAAGAAACCAGAGAAAAAATAATCTATGACTTCAATTCCTACATATCCCAATTCCCAGAAATAAAGTAAAATGGTGGTTGCCAGAGACTGGGGTAAAGCAGAAAAGGGGAATAAGTGTATAATGAGCTGTGATTTGGAGAGATTAAAAAGTTCTGGGGGGTAGGGAGTAGTGATGGCAACTGTGTAAGTGGACTTAATGCCCCTAAGCCACATGCTTCACAAAGGTTCATGAGAAGCTCAGTGTGATGGTGCGTGGCTGTTACTGCAGCTACTTGGGAAGATGAGGCAGGACTGCAAATGTGAGGCCAGCTTAGGCAACTGAGCAGGACCTTATCTCAAAAATAAAAGGGGTTTGGTGCTCCTTGGGTTTGGTCTCCAGTACCACGAAACATACACACATACATACATAAATAAAAACAAAATTGTGAATTTTCTTCACATATGTTTGGTATATGTTTACCACAATTAGTAGAAAGGGAAAATAAGGGCTAAATGTTAGTTTTTCATTACACACTTGTAGCATATAATACGTATCCTAGATACACAAGAAATGTTCTGGTTTTTTTCCTTTTTGCAATAATATGGGTGGTTTAAGTCAAGTGATAGCACCAAAGCCATATAAAAGGAATTTTACAGTCCTCCCATAAATGAGACAAAACATAAAAATCAAAAAAAGAGAGATATAAACTTTCCCAAATTCCCCCAGAGGATTGAAACCAGTTGCTGTGACCCTGACCCACACCAGCTGCCACCCGAGATAAAGTCTTGTTCCACAGGGCCTCCCCCACTCCATCAGGACCAGTCTGGCCTCTCAGGGTCAGAATTTGCTAAAAGAACAGTTGGCAGGCATCCCACGGTTTACCCCTGGCATGGCCTTAATTTGGAAAGATATGGTACTGAGGTTAACAGCAAAGTTTTCCCATCGGGGATCAGTTCCTGGACTCACTGGACACTGGCTTATTACTAGATGTCTCTAATCCTCGTTTATATGTAAAATACACAAAATAAGAAGTCCCTTTGCTTCCCACTTGTGAGGAGGATTGACCGGATAGTAACAAATGTGAAAGAAGACCGTTTAGCACCGTGCTTGGTATCTTCAGGTATTTATCATCACTGCACACCCTAGCATCTCATTATGGCTTCTCCTTGAGACACATTTCTAGAGCTCATCAGACACCATCTCCTTTATTCTCACCCATTCACTTCTCACCTACAACTGTCTTCGGCCCACCTCTGCATTAAAACGGTGCCAGCAGAAGTTACCAAGGCCTTCTGATGGGAAGCCCTAGTGGCAGTTCTTTGGGTCCTCTCTCACTACACCTCCCTGCACTGGCCACGGCCTCAATAGATGTTACTGCTTTGGCGACCACTACTTCCACGACTCCTCCCCTACTCCAAGAGCCCCAGAGGGCACGTGGCAGAAGAGGGGCATGGATTCTTACTCTCAGTACTCAGCAAAATATCTCACAGACAGAAAGCATCCACTGTGTGATCAGAAGTCACCTATGGCCTGTGACCCCTGCATCTCATAGGATCCTCAGTCAGGCGGAACCCTGCAACAAATGCCTCCACCTCGACAAGCTTTCTGGTACCTTCAGCTCTCACTGTGTTGCAGCTGATGGCGCCCCACTCACCCTCGATCCTCTCGCAGAGCTTATGCAGACCCTGCAAGGGGCAGGCTTCACACAGCTGGGCTGGTGCCTTTGCCGTCTGTTGTACCGCGGCCACTGTGAAAGCCTGCTTCAGGGTCATCATGATTTCATCAACCTAATGGAAAAAGAAGAGAAATTATAGCCAGCAACAAGCCAATTTCAGATTAGTGAGCTGAGATTAGTGAAATGTCAGGAAATCTGTGGATGAGACGTAGTATTTTAAGGTATGTCTGGAAAATTCTTCATAGTTTTGCAGATAATAATGGTAATAATTGCTAGGCTTATTGTCTGAGAAACACTCCTGGAGGCTTAAAGCTGTTGAGGAAAGAAGGCAAAAAATAAAAATACAATAAAAATATAAATTAAAGCTGGGCGTGGTGGCTCATGCCTGTAATCCCAGCACTTGGGAGGCTAAGGCAGGAGGATCACTGCGAGTTCAAGACCAGCCTGGGATACAAAGTGAGCTCAAGGCCAGCCTGAACTGCATAGCAAGACCCTGTCTCAAAAAAGATAAAAAGATGAAAAAAAAAAAAAAAAAGTTAAATACTGAGTAAAAAGCAAACTCCTTTTGACCAAAAGTCCAAAATTATTTTTAAAAACTAAGATCAGAGGGTGAAGGTGAGCATATTCTTCAAAAATAATGAAAACTGCAAGCCCAACTAAATCTCGGATGTGTATATACTAGTAGTTATCAGTTACTGAGTGAAGAGTCAGATAATGATACAACAATGAGGTCATGTAGTTTTGCAGAGGGCAGAAAAACCAGCAAGGTTGAAATCCTCTGTCGAGACAGAGTCCAGATAAGGGCTCAACCTCACTCACCAGAGCTTCATTTGCACACTGGAACACGTAGCAGACGAAATGAAAGCCGCCGCCACCCAAAGCCTCCCGGCAGATAAACCCAAAGTGGTCCACATGTCGGATGCCCTGTGGAAGGTGGGGAAGGGAAAAGGCAGGGTGAGCTGGACCCCGCACAGGCACCGCCAGAAGTCTGACTTAGGACCACACAGCACAGTTTAATGGAGCACTAGCGAATTCCTATGTCCTCAGGTATTTTCAAAATTTTAAAAAGATCTTTCAGGTAGGAAGAGTAGCAGCATTCTACTAAGATGTTACTTGGATTACCTCCAGAAGACTAAGGTTTGAAAATACACACTTTAGTGCTCACGGCAGCACTAAAAGAAAACAGAGAAAGTTGATGGAAAACACAGTACTTTATTACGTAGGCATTAAAGAATCTAAAACTATGTGAAAGATCAAATACAGACCAGAGATAAATGAAGAAATACATCTGTACAGCCATGAGCATACATGCATGGACACATAAAACTCAGACACAAAGCTAAAAAAAGACTTAAAACATATCTGTCTTCTTAAAATAACAAACAGATAAACACTGAAGTAGAATGTTATGGACAATGAGTAAAAAGTTATAAATATACAAAGCAGAGATGCTTTTAAACATAAGCTATGAGGCCAAGTTCTGCCATAGCTTACTAAGAGCTCTTTTTAATAAACACTAACATGTAAAGTTGTTTGGAAGGCATCAGCTAACACAAGCAACCACAGTAGAAATAAAACATCTCTTATAAACACTAACACACTGAGGTCTTCTGAAAACACCATCATGAGCGAGGACAGCCTGAAGTTTAGGTAATCATATAAACTTACAACATGCACTAGTTAGGAAATAATAACAATCACATTAAAAAGCAGATATTTAAAGCATTAATATGTCAAAACACATAGGAGAAAATCAAGGCCAACATTCTATAGATAATGCATTTCCAGGCCAAATATCACCAATAAATAATCACTGACATATTTTGGTATCTCAATGAATGTTTCCCTATAGCAATTAAAAATATACTAGAGTACGGCTTAAAGAAAAATATGATTTAAGAAAACATCTTTGAAAATGGCTCCCTGTTGCATCTATGAAGAAAAAAATTACTATTTTTCAAATTTTGAAAGAAAAATCCCTTTTTGAATACTTGAGCAAATCATATTATAAATCAACACACATCAAAATTTTCATCTTATTAATTATGGAAATAAAAAGTTATAGTATAGAAAACAGTCAAACATAACTTTAAGTGATCTCATATGTGTTCGCATGATTCTAAATAAAGCTTCCACAGCTCAGTCGGCAGATTCTTGCAAAAGCCCTCTGTGAAACTATCTGGTAGATTGTCAATACAGAGAATTTCAAATACACTCTGTATTCTGGGTAAAGCATCCTCAAAGATAAACACTATCTAATATGTTTTAAGGGAAAAGAAATGAAGATTCACACTAAAAAAGTTACAAACTTTTGTAATGGAGGAATTAGCCAGGTGTGATGGTGCAGGCCCATAATCCAGCTACTGGGGAGGCTAAATTCAAGGCCAGCCTCAGCAACGTAGTGAGATCCTATCTCAAAATAAAATAAAAAGGGCTGGAGACACAGCTCAGAGCACAGAGCTAGCCTAGCACAATGAGGCTCTAGATTCAGTCTCCAGAACTAGAAAAATAAAATGTATTTGTATGGATGTTTGAGTAACTGTAAGAAATACACAAACATCTCTGAAAACCGTATCTGGAAACACTTCTACCAATAACTGAAAAAAGCAAAGTAGATCTATTTTCCAGTATGTTGCTAAGAACAAAAATCCTTAATTTCATAATTATATTTATAATTTCTCTTAAAGGAGAAAAAAATTAAGACCGCAAATCAACTACTTAGAAAACAGTGATCACATTACACTTTTAGCATCTGTTACGTAACAGATAGCAACAGAATTACTTTTAAAAATCCAATTGCAACTGAAATAGTAAAGAGTCTCCACTTACCTGAGAGCAAAAGGATATCTCCTTAAAATTTTTCTCCAATGCTATTTTTTTGGTGTCAGGACTGATGAGGTAAACTTCAGACTGGCCAATCTTAAAAGAAACAAAGAAACTGGTTTCTCATGAAAGTTGAATTCAGGTTTACCATATAGACTTTCTCATGTCATGACCTATGTGAATACAGAGCAAAGGTGGCAGGCTGCCACAAAATTACATTCCTTTGTAGAAAATCATGTTACAGGGTTAGATGTCAGCAGACAGCAGACAACCACAGCGCAGTCTACTACTCAGAACCACAGTCTTCTCTGAGAAAAAAGGCTCAAATATTCAAAAGTTAGCAATAAGCCTCAGAACCCACACCCTTAAAAAGGAAATGAGCTCGCTTCCTAAGTGAGTAAGCCAGAAAACAGGTTTCTTACTAAAATTTCCAAAACATTTTCCAATGATTATTTTTTAAACTACTGTCAAAATAGTCTACCATTTACAGAGTATGCATTGACGTGGTGGGCATTCACACGCACTGCTACTCACCTAACCTTAAAGTTAGAACATGAGCATGAGGAACTGTGTCCCACTGTCTGCAATGAACAGACATCTACTACAGACAGAAGGCTGTGTGTGACACCCTCCAGCTAACTGCACAGCGACCGCCGCAGCATGCAGCAGCCTCTGCCTGCCCAGATATCACGCCTGTGTTCTGGTTCCTGTGTGCACCACTTTCTATTGTTTCAGCTTCTGGGGATCAAGCCGTCAGTGGTCACACCACGTCCTGAAGCTGTCCCTGTAACTCACAGACCCTTCTGCTCTAAACTCTTTGCGCCTTGATGTGGAATACACGTCAGATATACAAGCTTGCTCATTGGAAATGGCAGTGCAGATCCATTTTGCTCTCAAACGCTGCCCTGGTGTCTACGGCGTGGGTTTTACACCAAGAAAAGCTCTTGCTCACCATTTCCATACTACATTCACGTCAGCTGTGAGTGACAGAAGGCTTTTTTATTCTCTCTCATGGAAATCAAGTATGATAAAAATAGGTATGTTTAATACACAGCATCTTTCTAAATTAGCCTAGATTATATGTTTCTCTAAAGTAGGGACAAACTTAATGGTCTCTTTATTTGAAAACAATGAAGGAATCTCTACTTTGGATATATTTTATCTCCCTAGAGGTCAGTGCTTTTATCTGTATACCAAAGATAATCCTTATTTGTTTAAAAAAAATCATCGAAAATTTCTTAGCTGAGAAATTCCGAAGTATTCTTATTTGGTGTGGCTGGCTGCAGAGAATAAATCAGAATTTAAAGTTGGGCAGGGCCTGAGAACCCTCTCCCATCCCATCACTTGGTGCCATGGGCCTGATGGCCTGAGGGTCACATCTGTCCACTTCTCCCCACCCTCAGTGCCATCACATTCCACATTTCCCATTTCCCACCTGGCCCACTGTGACAGCTTCCTAACCTTTTCCTATTGTTTCTCCCCTAAGTGGCCAAAACCACTTCACACAGCATTTTAAACCTTTCAATGATTATCCGCTGCTTTTAGGATACAAAATAAAATCCTAAGCGTGACCCACAAGGTTCTTCTTAGTGAAGCTCTGCCCTGCCCTGTCCCAATCCTATCCACCTTCCCCTACTTTCAGAGCCATCCCTGGCCTTCCCGCTCACCCACAAATGTCTGCTGAGCTCCTCCTGCAACACGCCACACTGGGCTATGGCATTGTGCTGATGGCTGGTGCAGATCTATACCTTCAGAAAGCCCAGCTTCTTGGGGATATAGACACCAAATACTTGTTTATTGATAATTATGTCAGATGGTGATAAGCTCCATGGAGAAAAGTTAAACAAAGGGGGAGTTTGCTCCAGGCCTCACTGACAGGTTATTTTTCCATGTCACATTAACATTCTAGCAGAAACTTACAGGCAGCAAAGAGGGAAGACTAGGGACAACTGAGAAAAGCCTGCCAAGCAAAGAAAGCAAGAATAACAGCTTCAGGAGACCCCCAGTCTGAGCTCCATTCCACCCTGCAGGACTCTGCACCAGCTGCTCACCAAGCCCAAGGGTCCCTGCCACATGGAAAGGAACCACATAGGTAGCTCTGCTCTGTGAGAAAATTTCTCCAAAGATTCGCCTCTTGAGTCGCTGCATGTTCTACTTGAATTGCTGGCCGTCACAGCTTTCATCACGATTATAATCAGGTGATTACTGGTACAATCACTTGCCTGTTTCCTTCCCTAGAACCTACACTCCATACAGGCAGAGGCTATGCCCATCCTGCTCACTGCTCTGTTCTAGCCCTTAAGAGATCTTGTATGTAGCAGTCACACAACAAAGTACTTAAACTCATCAAGCAACTTTCTCAGTGATGCCACAAAAATGTAGAGATCACAGATTACCACACAACTGATACCAGTGTGGCACTTTCTCACTTTACTAGATCAATGACTTAAAAGAGAAGAAAGCAGCTTATTTACACCAACCACTAACTGATTTTTCAACTGCATCTGTCCATATCGATTGACTTCAGTGGCCAACTGGCCTTCTCCTTGCCACTGCACTGCCCTGGGTTAAGCAAAAAAATGATAGTTATGTTTCAGGGACTTTTGCTCACTACAGAGAGTCAGCCTGGAGCCAAAGGGACAGAGGGGAGGAGATGAAGGGAAAACCAGCTCCCTGCTGGGAGAGCTGTAGTGGCCAGGAAAGGACATGAACCCCAGCCCCTAAAAGGACAGGGACAGCTGCGCTGCCCATTCCTTCTGCATTTGACTGTGGGTTCTAGTTTGTTGTTCTAGAGCAAGAACAACAACAACAAAAAAGCAGGCAGCTGTCTAAATTAGTATTTTACTTTCAGTGTAAATTTCAAGTAAAAAGCTATCCACTAACTAATAAACAGCAAACGTTTTGTAAACTAGTAAAGCAGTAAAAGCCAGTATTTTCCACCCAAAGATTATGTTGCAATACATTACCTGAATATACATTGTTAAAGATTTCTCTCCTGGCCTCTTACATATCACAACCCTTCTTTCCATATTTAAAATGTGTTTACAATCATAAGATGTGGGAGGGAGATTAAAAAACTGTACAAGGGTGGGGGTGAATTCCCCTGTTTCCCTCTAATGATTTCAAAGGCTAACATAAGGATTTTATCCTGAGCAAAATCTACCAATATAAAAATATACAGCTTCAGGGATAAACTCAAAGGCATTTGCTAAGAATCTGCTGGATAAAGCAGATTTTCTCTTGAAGGCGTATCTCAGACTGCTGAGGGATGCAGAGCTGGGTAACAGTTTACCGTGAAGAGCATAGTTCGATTTTCCTCAATGTCCGTGGGCTGCACGATGTGGTGCCCGCTGATCAAGTGGTTCTCGATGTCGTTCTCCTCGAAGGAGCTGAAGAAGCTGGAGCTGCGCAGGCCGCCGTCCTGGAACTCCCTCCGGTAGGCCAGCGAGCGCAGGCCGGGCTGCGACTGGGACTTGCGCATGGGCCTGCGCCTGGCGGCCCCGGGAGAGGGGACTCTGTCCACTGGGGGCTCAGGTCCCCGCGAGGCCGGTTCCCCGTCCGCCCTCAGGCTGGAGCTGATGTGGTTGAACTTCTCGATGCACTCGTCGATCAGGGCCGGAGGGGCCTTCTTGTGTGCCACGGTCACTCGGCCACAGAAGAGGACCTCGAACTTCTTGGCAAAGGTGTCGTCGAACTCAGACGGGCAGCGCAGCTCCTCCTGGCGGGCGATCTTCCCAGCCTGGCGGATGGAGCTGATGATCTCTGGCACCTGCGGGGAAGCAGCAGTGTTACTGGGTCCCTGAAACCCGATCCGACCCCACACTGTCCGCACAGGTGCCAGGGACACCTTGCCTGGAGGAAAACCTGCAACCTTGAGAGCGCAGCAGAGGGGAACAGTACTGACGCACCAAGGCATCTACAGGGATGAGGCCACCCTGTGCAGTGCAGGAGAGGAGCAGTCCCACTGCCGGTTTACGTTCACTGATGACAGCAAGGCAGGCATCATTTGATCTTCAACAGGCAGGGTCCCGTCTTTATGATCTGATGCCTACACTAATGCATTTTCTCACCTAAGGGAAATTCAACGGATGGCCCAGTAACTTCCACTTAACATGAGGGAAAAGCACCTCAGCCTTTCCAATTCAGGTTAAAGATCCCACTTACGGCACAGTAATGGGAGGTGGTTTTAGGTTTTTAACTGTATGAGTGTTTTGTCCATGACATAATTCCCCCAAAACAAAGACTTAAAAGACTTTTCTCTCTTACTAAATATCAAGTACACCATACAGATAATCCTCCTAAACCAGACACAACACAACCTTGTAATCCAAGTTACTCAGGAAGCTGAGCCGGGAGGACTTTGTGTTCCAAGCCAGCCTGAGCAATTTAGTAAAACACTGTTTACCAAAAAAAAAAAAAAAAAAAAGTTTTTCAAGAAGAAAAAAAATCTTTCAGCCTAAATATTAGGATATAATCTCTCAAAGTATTTCATACCAAGAATGAAAATATTTAGAGAGATAACTTTTTTTAAAAGATGATTTCTAAAGCATATGATAATGCTAAATAATGCTTAAAAGTTAAAATTTCAAGTAGGGTACGGTGGTGCACACCTGTGATACCAGCACTTGGAAGGCTGAGGCAGGAGGACTGCCATGCGTGAGGCCAGCCTGAGCCACACAATGTAATCGTGTCTCAAAAACCTAAAAAAGGAAAGTCAAAATTTCAACAGATGACAAGCATCTATGCCCACTGAGTACTGTTTGTGCTATGGCTCACGATTATACTGCCAAATAATTACACACCATGTGGAGGTGTGCAATTTTAATTTTAACAAATAAAGAAGATAGGACAGAGAAAAGAGCATTGCTGAGGTCTAACTTCCCTTCCTACCTCTACCAATGGTGCACCACAGGCCTTGGCCAAAACTAGGCCAAGCACAATGCACCACACCTACAGCCCCAGCACCTAGGAGGATGAGGCAGTCCGACTGCTCCAAGTTCAAAGCCAGCCTCAGTGACAGCAAGATCTTGTCTCAAAAAACAAACAAAACGGGCTGGGGATTTAGCTCAGCGGCATAAGCACCTGCCTTGCAAGCAGGCAGTCATGAGTTCGATCCCTGGTACCAATAAAAAAGGAAAAAGACAAAAAAAAAAAGCTAAAGGTTCCCCTTGGTGGTGGTGCTTATAAGATTATAAGACCTCCCCCCATGGTAAAGTTGTTTCTGTGTAGTACGGTAATTTTTAATACAAAAACAATCAAATACAGATAAAGAACTGCCATGTTTCTTAGAAAAGATTATTTTATCAAGGAATCACATGAATCTTCCAATTAACCCTACTCATTGAGCAGAGCATGCAAAGTTTATTCAGCCCTGTGAAACTTGTTAAAATACTTGATGTTTCTATGTGCTGTGTCTTCCACTGCATCTGAAGCAAGCAGCAGTGTCTCTCCGTGTACATCAAAGTGGAGAGAAATGTGTGAAGTCACTCGAATGTATAGCAACTCAGCAGTAAATGGAACAAACACAAAGTAGAACACCTGACTGTCCCCTCACTTCCCTGGGTCAGAAGCAGCCAAGGAACCTATCATACCCTGGTCAGAGTTGAGGCTGTGGTAGTTTTCCAGCCACCAATCTCTGCAGAACTTTAGACAGAATCTAAAACAGACACACTTCATTCATCAATGATCAAAACCAATTCTCCTCTGGTGAGTCTTACTATTCAGGTATAAATTAGTTCAAGCATCATCAGTGAACAGATTAAAGAACATCCTGCGTTTCAGAAGCACCAGGGAGCTGTATGTAACATGAATATACAGGATACACTGGGGCCTTAAAAAAAATCCCCAAGATTCTGACTAAACGAATATTGTTAAGTGGAAGATATCCAAAGGCAAATAACTCATTGCAAAACATAGTTTTGAAAATAAATGGCAAACACTTAAAAATTTAATGCTTTACACTGCATTAAATTTTTGTCCAGGCTAAGAGATCAGCTCACACCCAGGAGGTATCATTATTATAAGTTATTCAAGTATACTAAGAGGCTGAAAATTGAGCTTTACTTGTAAATTTGTAACTTTATTGATTGGTTCTGACTGTTCATTTAAAAGTGCAGGTATGATGTCCACTTGGGATGAAATCCTGAATTCTCCATCCTTTGTCACTCTGCCCTACACTCACTTACACTCACAAGGGAACTAAGCCCTTTCCTCATTTTATTTCCAAAAGCTTTTCTAATTATCTCTAGAAGCCAAGCTACAGACTCACCTGAGATGAATTCAGATGTATGCGTGAGAGCTGGAGACCCTGGGAGCTTCAGATACGATCACTGACAACAATGCAGGTGGGACTTGCTGGGAAGCTGGACTAAGAACCAAACACTAAAGACGCAGAGACACTGAACAGGTTCTAGCACACAGAAGCCACAGGGTGGTAATGACCTGGGTAGGGGGTTGAGAGTACTGAGGATTACACTCAGCTCCTAGAGTTCTGGCTTAGACTTCTACAAAGAGGAAAACTGTGCTGTGAGCTCCAGGAAGGGAAAGCAGGAGGAGGGACGGGTTCAGGCAGTCCAGTTGTGCTTTCGTGCACCTTGCACAAGACCAGAGGGACTTGAAAGTAAAGCCATCTAGTGTGCAGTCACCTCGTGTCCAGGCCAAGAGATCAGCTCACACCCAGGAGGTATCTGAAGCTTTGGGAGAGAAACAGGGAAAGTACAGGAAAGGAGCAAAGAAGGGATCCTTGAACACCCCAATACTTCAGAGGAGGAAAAACAAATGGCAGGCAGAGAAGCAAGAGGGAAGCAAGGCAAGGATGAGGTCAGAGACAGCTAGATTTTGAAGGGACACGTCGTGAAGACAGGTAGGGTGGTCGACTGAGGGTTGAGAGCAGTGTGCTAGAGGTGAAGGGTCATACAGATACATAAAACAAAGTGAGGACGAAAATTTAGTAATATAAGCAAAAAAAAAAGAGAGAGAGAGAAATAAAGAAGGAAAAAAAAGGGAGATAAGGGCTATGTCAATACTAACCCCCAAAATAAATAACTAAAAAATGCTAGGGGCATACTTTATATAGTCTATAGAAAGTATAATTCAAGTTACAATATTTACTGCAAATAGGCAGACATCGTAAGGGCAAATGCCACGGGGTTAAGGGAGGTTATTCCCTCTGATCCGATCTGATCTGAATGAAAATCTAGTTTTGTCAAAGCAGTTAATATCTGCATCATTTCTGTCTGCACACAAGTAAATAAAGTAAACCAACACTATCACAAAAGAATCTGAAAAACACCTTACTGGAATAAATTCAGTTAAGTTTGGGTTTGGTTATAATCTTATACACCGGAATCAAAACAAAAATGTTAGCCAATTAGCAACTCCCCATGATAAAAGTAATCATTATATACTATAAACAAGTGCTAGTAAAACATATAATTAAAAAAGGAAAGAAAAAAACTAATGAAGAAACAGGCCTAATGGATATATAAAAACTGGGAATGTGGTTCAGCAGTAGAAGCTTTGCTTGACGCGTAAGGCCCTGGGGACTGATCCCCAGCACTGCAGCACTTTCCAAATTACTAAACTCTCTTGCCAATTCATTCTAAGGCTCAAATCTGCAAGCAAATCTTCACTTTGTTTACAGCCAAATCAGGTTTCTATGGAATTAACATATTAACAAATGCACATCAAAGGATGAAGTTTCTGGATATGCTTCAGTGACTGTTGCTTAATAAGCAGGAGAAAAAATTATACTCCAGGAGATTTATTCACTTTTGTAAATAAAGTCCTTACTAAAGCATTTGGGTCAACTTTCTTTTTAAGGATTTAGGGATTTTAAAGGATTATAAACACACTGTAAGTGTAATTTTCTTCATAAGGACTTAGGAAAGAGTTCCTGAAACAGTATTTAGAACAAAAAAAAATCATTTTAGTTTGCATTTATAGTTTTGTTTTTCTGCCAACTATTAAGAGAAAAATTTAGATGAATCTAAAGCCTGGTGTTTGTATTTAAAGCTCTGGCAATTTCTCTTATTGTACTGTATTTAAACATTCTAAAGCTGCAAAAATGTGGCAGGATACACTGGATTTCATCTTCAGATGACATGTTTTCATACTTTAGCAAGGAGCTAAAATGAGCACTTCAAACAGAAAATACTTTGCATAATTATTTTACAGAAGGAGCAGACCTGTGATTTTTGTTGTTGATAATAATTAGTAGTCATTTGTGTTACTCATCATTAAAAAAGGAAAAGCAAAATTAAGTTTTTCCACATTCTACTTGATATGCCTTGGATTTTACACAAAATACTTATAATAGTACCCACTACTTACATTATTTCAAGAGAAAACAAGAATCATTTTCTATTATCCAGATCCAGCTTATGAACATTCCCATTATGTATGAGTCGGCCCGACAGTACTGGATTCACCCATGGAGAGCTGAACATACCTTCTCCAAACAGTAAGACAAATACTCGACCTCACAAGGCTCAAAGATTAGCAAGAAAGAGACACATCTAACATGTGACTTCCAGGAGGAGGTGACAGAGCTACAACACAAACATGAGCATTGCCGCTGACGGCACGGCCCAGTCTGGCCGATGAACCAGCACCTCAACTTCTGCTCTGTGCTTACAAGGAGCCTACAGGTTAGAGTCATGCACTCCACCTTCCTGAAAAACACAGCAGGCGTGCTGCAGCGAGGCTGAGGTAACAAGGTAACATCGGAGCAGAGCAGAAATGCTGAGCACCGCGGCCCCCAGCACAGGC